AATTAAAACAGTGATATTATAGCACTGGCAATGGGCTCAGATGGTTGATTTGAGTTTTGTGGATTAAACCAGAGATTCTTGGTAAGAAACATCAGTGTATTATAAATAGCAAGATGGAAATAGAAAACCATTAGCTCAGCAGGACCTGTATATTTGGGAGAGAAGAGAGATTTGAAGCTGTATAAACACAACAGATGTCATTAAAAATCTAGCTTATTTAAGAAGAAAACTGTTACTGAAAAAATGTTATTTGAAAATTTTTAATGGTATACATGGAACTTTTTTTTGCAATGATCCAGTAGGTATATTATCCATCACGTACATCAAATAAAACAAGGCAATTTGAGTGCCCCGCAATGAGAAGACCTTAGTTCAACCTCTGAGAAAGCTGCCCATTAAATTAACTTTTATGTTGATAAAACTCTTTCTGATAAATCAGGGGTCTTTACATAGTAGTCTACACAAAGTGACATATGACTTTTTTGCCTCAAGTCAGTGTTCACACAGGGAGTCACTAAAGGATGTTCATTCTTCCTTAACCTTAATAAGGGATAAGGACATTTATTTCTTCTGCATATTTTGTAAGGTTCCTTGAGCCCACAGTGGAGAACAGGGCTGAGGTCAGTGATGAGTAGGGCCGTGGCAAGTATTAAAATAATGGTAGGGAGGGACTTCTCTCGTGGTGCAGTTGTTAAGGCTCCGTGCTCCCAATGCAGAGGGCCTGGGTTCGATCCCTTGTCAGGGAACTAGATCCCACATGCATGCCACAACTAAGGAGCCCTCTGACGGCAACTAAGACCTGGTACAATCAAATAAATAAATGACAATTTAAAAAACTAAATAAAATAAAATAGTGGTAGGGAATTCCCTGGCGGTCCAGTGGTAAGGACTCTGCTCTTCCATTGCTGAGGGCGTGGGTTCAATTCCTGGTAGGGGAACTAAGATCCCACAAGCTGAAAAAAACAAAACACAACAAAAAAAACCGTAGCTGTAGTAACAAGCAATCCTTCCCAAATCCTAGAATATCTCCCAATAAATGACAGCATTTCAGTAATCCTCATAGTAAAACTTGAAGTATTGTTGAAAATTATTTGTATGGAATGGTTCATTGAATTTTTCTTTTCAGCTACATGTTGAGCCCCAAAGATTAAGAATTTGTGTTTCTACTGAAAATGTCTCCTTCTTCCCCAAAGGGAGCAGTTTGGGGACTAATAGAGGTAGGCACAAGCATAGAGACAAATACAAGAGTAAAGATTATGGCCACATAATTTAAAATATAAACGGACATACACCGATGGTAGCTTTAAGGAACAGATAGCCAGCAAAACATATTTGCCTATTTCATTTAAAAAATACTAACAAAATGTCAGCATGCCACATAGAATCTTTTTATAACTTTTTAGTATGAAATTTTCAAACCCATACAAACACCAAAAATAGTATAAGGAGGGGCTTCCCTGGTGGCACAGTGGTTGAGAGTCCGCCTGCCGATGCAGGGGACACAGGATCGTGCCCCGGTCCGGGAAGATCCCACGTGCCGCGGAGCTGCTGGGCCCGTGAGCCATGGCCGCTGAGCCTGCGCGTCCGGAGCCTGTGCTCCGCAACAGTGAGGGCACAACAGTGAGAGGCCCGCATACCACACACACACACACACACAAAAATAGTGTAAGGAGTACCCATGTAATCATCCTCCAGCTTCAACCACTACCTCAGACATTTTACCATTTTCTCAGTAAATATTTCAATCTGCAGCTCCAAAATATGACTCTTTAAAAAATAACCCTTGTCGCACTGAAAACTTTAAAAATAATTGAAATGGAAATACATGAAGTGTCTTAACTTTAGGTACTTCATTTGGCATGGAGAAATTATATCTATAATTTAGAGAAAAACATGAACCTGAAATGAACCCGTTCTCTCAGTTCTTTCCAGAGTTTCAGCTCAATTGCACAGAGAAGCAAACCTGGTCATCCCAGCTAAACAGTCATTTTGTTTTCTGTTTTTTTATAGGGCTGCAGGTATATGAGTGCAGAAGTTGAAGAGTCAAAATGCTAGAGTTTATTCATTATTTGGATTTTTCTCAGATCAAGCATATTGATCATTCACACTTTTCTGGAGGGGTGAATGTTGGCACACAGCTCCGGAAAGTGAAACTAAGGGGATTGTGGTGAACGGTGAAAGGAAGTCACCTTTAGCAGCAAACTCTACCAAAGCCTTGACCATTTCAAATCGTATTACAAATTCCAATGATCATTTTAGGAAAATAGAACAGAATATGGAATATATTTATATAGTGAGAAACTTTGTATGTCTATTTGATCAGTGAAAATGATGACATTCCTAGAAAGGACATCTTTAAAGTTGCTGAGTGCAAGCCGGGAGGTGATCTAACACCAATGGGAAGATACCATCATCTGATACTAGTGTCCCTCACTTTAGGGGACAACGAGGATTTTAGTGGCTAATTTTAACTGTCAGCATGGTCTGGCTTCAGTATCCAGAAGTTTGATCAAACACCAGTTTTAGATGTGACTAACATTTAAATCACTAGAATTTGAGTAAACACAGTTATCCTCCATAATGTGAATAGGTCTGATCCAATCAGTTGAAGCCCTTAAGAGAAAAAAAGACTGAGATTGCCTGGGAAAGAAGCGATTCTGCCCCTAAATTGCCTTCAGATTCAGTACTGCAACATCACCACCCTCCTGGATCTCCTGCCTGCCAACCTGCCCTGCAGATTGGGGACTTGCTGGCCAATGTGCATCAATTCCTTGAAATAACTTTATCTCTGTCTCTATCTCTATCATCTGTATCTATACACACATACACACACACACACACACACACACACACATTTTGTTTCTCTGGACAACTCTAACATAGAGATAAAAGAACTCTTTTGTGATGTAGAGAAACAACTGTATTTAAACTATGTTATATATTTCAACTGGCTCTCAGCAAATCTGAAATCATAAGATCTTAGAATTGGAAAAGAACTCTCAGAGCTAATTTATTCAAAAATTTCACCTATATATTGTTAAAATTATAATAATAAAGGCCAAATGATTCACATGTATTATGTATACTCTTCACAGCATTCCAAGTTAATATCCAGGTTTTTTTTTTTTTTGCTTTTTGGTTTTTTTAAAAATTAATTAATTAGTTAATTAATTTTTGGCTGCATTGGGTCTTCGTTGCTGTGCATGGGCTTTCTCTAGTTGCGGCGAGCGGGGGCTACTCTTCATTGCGGTGGCTTCTCTTGTTGCAGAGCACAGGCTCTAGGCGCACGGGCTTCAGCAGTTGTGGCTCGCAGGCTCAGTAGTTGTGGCTCACGGGCTTAGTTGCTCTGCGGCATGTGGGATCTTCCCAGACCAGGGCTCGAACCCATGTCCCCTGCATTGGCAGGCAGATTCTTAGCCACTGTGCCACCAGGGAAGTCCCAATATCCAGTTTTATACATGAGAAGATGAGGCTCAGAGAAGTAAGAAACTTCTCCAAGATGACCTGGGTGGCAGTGACTAAGCCGGTATTTGAATTCAATACTATTTGAATCCAAAGTCCGTTGTCTTTCTGTTAGGTTTGGTGGCTTTTCTTCAATGTGGCTCCTAAATGCTCGGACATTTTTGGTGATGTATAGAATTTCGGTGATGCAAAGCCCATTATATGGCAACTGTATATATTTTTTAACATCTTTCTTAGAACCGTCTTTCATATTTTGAGTCAGATCTTGCTATGCGTTTTGCCCTCTATGACTACATTTCCACATGTCAGCTCTTCAAATACTTGAAGCTAGCCATTTGATCCAAAGTATTTCCTTTTTATATTTTTTTAAAACTTTAATTTAATTTAATTAATTTTTGGCTGTGTTGGGTCTTCATTGTTGAGCGAGGTTTTTTTCTAGTTGCCACAAGCGGGGGCTACTCTTCGTTGAGGTGCACGGACTTCTCATTGCAGTGGCTTCTCTTGTTGTGGAGCACGGGTTCTAGGCACATGGGCTTCAGTAGTTGTGGAGCGCAGGCTCAGTAGTTCTGGCTTGTGGGCTCTAGAGCGCAGGCTCAGTAGTTGTGGAGCAAAGGCTTAGTTGCTCCGCTGCATGTAGGATCTTCCGGGACCATGGCTCGAACCCGTGTCCCCTGCATTGGCAGGCAGATTCTTAACCACTGCGCCACCAGGGAAGCCCCTCCTTTAAAAAAAAATTTTTTTTTTAAACAAACCTTTTTTAAAAAAAATATTTATCTATTTATTTATTTATTTTTGGCTGTGTTGGGTCTTCTTTGCTTTCTCTAGTTGGGGCGAGAGGGGCTACTCTTCGTTGCGGTGCGCAGGCTTCTCATTGCAGTGGCTTCTCTTGTTGTGGAGCATGGGCTCTAGGCACGCAGGCTTCAGTAGTTGTGACTCGCGAGCTCTAGAGCGCAGGCTCAGTAGTTGTGACTCGCGGGCTCTAGAGCACAGGCTCAGTAGTTGTGGCACATGGGCTTAGTCGCTCCGCGGCATGTGGGATCTTCCCAGACCAGGGCTCGAACCCGTGTCCCCTGCCTTGGCAGGCGGATTCTTAACCACTGTGCCACCAGGGAAGTCTCTAAAATTTTAAAAAGTGTTTGTCATAAGAAACAATTTCCAGATTCCCTCCCTCGTGATTGTTTTTACTGATGTTCTTTGGCTAGCTCTCCCTTGGTAGGCTCCAGCAACTATTTCAAAAATTGGACTCTAGTATTATCTACTCGAAGAACAATGGAATGTTTTTCCCTCTTGTTTTAGATTCTATGCTATCTTAATGCAGTCTAAGATTTACCAGCTTTTTAAAAAGACAATTTAAGTATAGTGATTTATGATATTGTATTAGTTTCAGGTGTAAGATTTACTAGCTTTCTAATGTCGTTTCATGTCTCTTTTTACAGATTCCTTTATAAGAACTGGTCTCTCATCTTTGTATCTGTGTGGTCAATTTTTGCAGGACTTCGAATTTTCCACATTAAAATTCATATTATTAGTTTCAACCTAATGGTCAAGTCTACAAAGGTATTTAATATTGTATATTCTATCATTTTCAATTGGCAATTTTGGTTAACTTGAATAAAGAGTTTAGTTTTAGACATATTGAATATAAAATATTAGGAGTGAATATATTGCTATGAGAAAGATTATAAAGAATGAGATTATCAAAGGTTGATCTTTGGGAAGCAATTTAACCTTTAAACGTGGGAAAGCCCACTTCAAGTAGGGAAGGAAAAGAACAAATTCTTGAAAATGTTTGAGATTAGGAATCAGCCTTGTTCTGAAACATGATAGGGGTGAAATAAACATTTTTAGTAGAACCAGTGCAAGAGGCAAAGAAAGATAGGCGAGAGAGCAAGGAAAAGGCAAAAAAAAAAAGAAAGAAAGAAATAGTACAGCCTTGAGAAAGAGTGCATTTGACGCTGTCAAAACTGCAGACAAATCAAAGAGAATAAGTGAGAAGAGACTTCTAGATTTGGCAGTTGTAAAAATGGTTACCGGAGATAGCAGAAGTGCAGTTCCAGCCAAATGTATGGACTAGAAGTCAAATTGTGAGGTGTGAAGGAGTGGATTGGTGATGAGGATGCAGAGGTTGAAACTTTTCCCAGAAGTTTCGTGCTTTTAGAGAACTACAGGCTGGTGGCTCTCCTGAGCAGGTAGAACCAAGTATTTTTGTAGTTAGGGAAGATGCCTTGACAGAGAGATTGATGATGCTAGAGAGAGAGGGGATAATTAAAGGTATACCATCTTGGGAAAAAGCCTCCAGGATTGGATGAAGAGCTGAGCTGAATTTGTGAGTTTTGTGGTGAAGGATGAACATGTTTTCCGAAGAATGAGTCCCCAGGGAGGCAGGCAAGCTGGGTTATGATTCTGTGTAACCAAGATGAAGACTAGGTGCTTAACAGGTGGAAAGGAACAAAAGTAACTCAGCTCTGGTCAGGAGGACTTCAGTAGCTCAATAATGAAGCAGCAACGATGAGAAAGTAGTCATGGTTGTCTCAAGATATATTGAAATTGCACGGGGGAGTGTATTAGTTTGCTAGGGCAGCCATAACCAAGTACCACAGACTAGATGGCCTAAACAACAAAATTTATTTTCTCATAGACTGGAAGTCTGAGATCAAGGAGTTACCAGGGTTGGTTTCTTCTGACGTCTCTCTCCTTGCCTTGTAAATGGCTGTCTCCTCTCTCTGTCTTCACATGGTTTGTTTATTTCCTCTCTGTGCATGTCTGTATCCTAGTCTACTTTTCTTGTAAGGACACCAGTCTTATTGGATTAGGACCCTCCCCAACACAGGAAGAATTCAGTCAACAGTGGACAAATAAAAGGATTCCACTTCTTTATTTTCTTGCAGATAAGTGTGTTGTAGAGAGTAGAGCTCAACATTTAGTGAGTGCGGCAAGCAGAATAATGGCCCCCAAAGATGTCCACATCCTAACCCCCGGAAACTGATGATATGCTACTTTATATGGCAAAAAGGACCTTCAAATGTGATTTAGTTAAGGAGTTTGAAATGGCAAAATTATCCTGGATAATCTGAGTGAATCCAGTCTAATCGCATTGGTCCTTAAACGTGGGGAAGTTTTCCCTATGAATTCAGGGTTAGAGGGAGATGTGATTCTGGAAGAATGGCCAGGGGGATGTAACACTGCCAATGTAACACTGGAGGAAGGGAGCCAGGAGGCAAGGAAAGCAGGCAGCTTCTAGAAGCAAGAAGGGGTAAGGAAATAGATTCTCGCCTAGAGCCTCGGAACTCACCTTTGTCAACATCTTGCTTTTAGCTCAGTGAGAACTGTGTTACACTTCTGACCTGCACAACTGTAACACAATAAATTTAAGTCACTAATTTGTGCTAATCCGTTACAGCAGAAATAGAGAAGTAACGTGGTATGCATAGGAATCACCTAGAGGTCCATTTAAAATCCTGATTCTGGTTCAGTAGGTGTGGGGTGGAGCCAAAAAGTCTGCATTTCTAACCAGATCCCAGGTGATGCCAGTGCTGCTGAACTGGGGACCACACTTTGAGTAGCAAGGCTGGAGAGACCATGCATTCAAATCTCCTTACATTATAGATAAAGGACTTATGGATACAGGCAGAGCTGTCTTTGACTCCCTGCTTTTCTCACTGTACATTGCACTACTACTAAAAAAAGAAAAGACAAGACAAGAAAAAAAAAGGAGTCCATTAGAGAATAGCAGGCAAGGAAAGGTGCCAATGTTTGGAACATTTGGCTCCAGAGCCTCTGTGTGTTTATGGTGCCTGCGAGGTGTGCTGGCTGACACTGAACTGACACAAACTGTTAATTACCCACACTTCAGTAAACTAACAGCTGTTTGCTATGTGCAGCAGGCTGAGGGCCCTCTTGGTTCCCAGGGGTTTCTAACTTCCTAGGTGTCAGCAAGTTCAAGAGAGAAATTTCAGGGCAAAAGAGCATTTTGTTGTGACAATTTAGTAGGGTAATTTCCAGGAAGAGCCTCAAAAGCTGTAGATCATCTGTAAACTCAGAGCTGTAAACACAGGAGGGAGTGTTTCCGATGACCTGAAGGATATGTTCTATGTTTATCTTGTTGCCCGAGGCACTCTGTAATTATGGGAGAGCAGAATGTCAGCTCATCTCTTTGTGGGTGGCACTGGCCAAAGGGTTTGAGGAAAACTACCGGGTTTATTAAAGAGGATAAAGAGCTCCCACGTTGGATGTAACAAAAATCCAAGGTGAAAATCAGAGAGGAATGGATTCTAAGAACGTGGCAGGGACTTGTGAGGAGAGTTGGTGAGCAAAAGATTATAAAGAGGAATGAGGAGAAACTGCGCAACCGAGGCTACATGGAAACCTCCCACTCTACAGAACAGTAAGGAAGATTCACAGGCACCAGGACGAGGGTTCTCAAACAATAGTACCCGAGGATCACATGAGGAGCCTGCTAGAATGTGCTTTCCTCAGTTCTTACACCAGTTGTTCCTTTTAACATTTTCTTATGGAAAATTCCAAACATACGAAAGTAGAGAACATGACATACTGAACTCCCACACACCCATCCCAGACTCAGTAATGATCACCTCATAGCCGGTCTTCATTCATCTATTCCACCTGCTTCATGCCTCCCTCTCATCTTTCCTTCTCCACTGGGCTATACAGAAGCACAGCCAAATCATCATTGAAAAAGCATTTCATGTGGAGAGAAAAGTAAGCACACACACCCCAGGACAGAGTGCATCCAGTGAAGAGGTCTATGGAGGTGGAATGGAGAGAATGAGGGGGAGGTTGGTAGGGGATGAGATCTGAGACGTCACAGGGCAAATAGGCGTAACAGACACACTGTGTAGGTCTTCGCAGCTTGTTGCAACAGCTTTGGCTTTTACTCCAAGTAAGGACTTTAGAGCAGGAGGGACTATCAGCTGTGGGAAGATAAAATTGAAAAGACAAAGGGGGTAAAATATTATTACTGGAGCCCCATAGAAGAGGAGCTGCCTGGTAGGAACTGTAGTCATAGTCAAGAATGAAACTATGGCCAAGAGCTTTGCTCCAAACTCAGGAGGGAGTAAGAGAATGATCACCTCAATTCCCGTGGAAATAGGAATCAGTCTCCTGATGAATGGAGTAACCTCCATCTCTGTCTCTTGGTCCAGGGGTAGGAGAAGTCTGAATTGTCAGAGGGCAGTCTCAGCTTCCAGCTAAATGGAACATGGCTGTGTTCCTCATTGGAAGCATTTCCTCCTTTAGTATCTAGGACCTTCAAATCACCAAGCCTGAGCCTGTGGAGACAGACACTTAAAATTCGGTGGATGATATAATAGTGAGAGGGATCCTTTCCACCCCTACCTGCTGGTTCCTGGATTTATGTAATTTGGTGATGGAGGAAGTGGTACTACTTATTCCCAATTTCACCAGTGAGATAAGGCACTCATTCTTCCTTGGTTTCTATTCTATAGGTCTGGGCAGAAATTTGTGTGTGTATGTGTGGGGAAGGAGAATAGAAAATGGTTCTTGATTTTGTTCCCATGACTTTTTGGGCTTATTACTCACCCTGTGTTAACTACACATATGATTGTTTTCCTTGAGAGAGGAGACTAGAAAATTTCAGGGCAATCCTGCTCCCATCTTCATGAGGCTACTTGAAAAGTACCACTTTCCCTGTATACAGTTTACCCTTGAATGGTGTGTGGGTTAGGGATGCTGACCCTCAAGCAACTGAAACTTTTGCAAGTGAAGCCTCAAGCATCCTTCACTAGGTACATAGTTCTTTCAGTACATTAGCTGAAATTAATCGCATCAATCCAGCTCACATTTCACATGTGCCCTCTTTGTACAGAATCTAAGAGTTAATAGGACCCATAAGTCTATCACAGTCCCAGACCCACACCCATAGACATCAGCAAATCTCTAATATCCAACAAATGGTAAAAATAAAGATTCATGTTATTATCACCACCCAAGGACCCCAGGGACACAAGTACTAGTTTCTAAGTGGAAGCAAGTCTATCAGAAACTGAAAATCTTCTGTTTCATTCTCAGCAACATCCTGGTTGGTTTTTGCCTATTGTCCAAAATCTTCAACTGTGACTTGAAATTTGATGGAGAAACATCTCCCATGAAGATGTTAACTATGGCATTATATTTATCTTGGGGAAACAATCCCTGATCCACTGCCTCCTTTTTTTCAGAATGGCATGTAAGAAAAGTTAGACTCAGTTAGGAAACTGGGTGCTACCCTGATCTACCAGATGATTATCTGAGGTTCCTTCTTCCTCATTTTGCTTATTGAAAAATCATTTCCAGTTTTTCTTTTGAACCCTGTGTGCCTAACCTTCCTGAATCGAAGAGTCAACTGTTCAGTGGCACAATCTCCACACTGTCTTTGGAGGAGGTTGCTGCCCTTCATTTGTAGCACATTTCATAATGTCATTCTCTACCTCACACTCCCTTCTAGTTGCTGTGTGTCTGAGTGCCATCTGCTGCCATCACCACTTCCTCTGGAAATCCTGGCTCTTTCGTGCTGCATGCTATCCCAGAACAGCTTCCTTGAAGCCCAGGCCAACACACAAAGTGTTTGTATCTCTGAGGTGCCAAACACACCCCTGCATTTTTTTTTCTGAGTTTTTTTCCTCTTAAATTTCGACATTTGATATTTTTGCAGAAACTTCATCTTATATTTGTTCTTAATGCATGAGTATTATTAGATTACTTTTTAGAGTGTTTCTGATAGCCAAAAAACTTTGGAAACCCTAGCTTATGACTTTTCTAATTTTTTTTTTTTTTGGTCTTTAGCATAGGTGATACATTCTGACAAGCCTTTGATATTGAAATCTTATTTTGCTGGCTTAGAACCTCCATGAAAATTTGCAACTTGTCAAGACTTGAATTTCTCCATTACTGTGTTCTCTCAGCTCTGCCCCCTGAGATACTTGCAGATACACAGTTTAAAGCTACAAGCTAGGAACAAGAAATTGATGTTGGTTGGGGAGAAGTTCTGAATGTCAGATTAAATTTGTAGCAGGAATTTATTGGCGTTAACCCTTGCCACGCACTTGTTATAGGAGAGATGCAAATAAGAAAGGGTCAAGAGTGACATTTATTGTAGGAATAATATTTTAGGAACAATATTGTCTTGCTGTTTTGGCATATTTATATAAATGGAGGAAGGATAGAAGTTAAATTAAGAGAAATAGAGACTTGTATAGTGATTTAAATACCACCCGAGTTATTTTAGCATCATGTTGAAAACTGATGCTTCTGTTTATTCAACAACTTCTTGACTCGTCTAAATATCTATTCTATTTTGGGGAAATGTTTACTGCTAAGAGAATAGGCCGTGGGTAATCTACTGAGGATGAGATCGTTTTTTAGTGCATTCTTTAAGGAGTGGGCTTGGTCATCTTTATTTGTCCTTCTCTTTTAGTGGAATACATGTTATCATTTGCTTAAAATTCTCACTCAGGTAACTATATATAAAAGCTGCTTCTGCCTTGGTATACTTAGGTATACTGATATGTATTTTGTATATGTATACAACAGTTTTTGTTGTAGCACTCAAGAGGAGAGAAGATGTTTGCTTGTAGCTCTTAGAGAACAAACACATCTTGTAGCTTTGGTTCTTGATGTGGCATGGGGAGGATAAAGGAGAGAAGAACCAATGCTTTCTCAGGTAGGCTGGTTTTGGTTGGAAGTATCTGAGTATCAATCTGACTAAACAGTAAAGGATTTTATTGGCTCACATAACTATAAATCCAGAAGTAGGATTTAAGCACAGTTTAATTAAGATTCTAACAATATTTCTCTGCTTTTCTCTCAGCTTTGCACGGTCAACATCAGATTTGTCTGCAGGCTCTCATGCCTCATCCTCTCAAGATGGCTGCCAATTGCCAGTGGAGCCATGTGCTTCAAATTCACATTCTGTAGGAGGAAGAGAGAACAGTTTTCCATTACTGCCTTTAAGAGTAAAGAGGGTTATTTTCCAGAAGTGTCCATCAACCTCCACATATCCAAATGATTAGAATCAGACCATTCTGAACCAGTCACCTGCAAGGGAAATGGGATTATCCTTAGCTGGAGTAAACCCATCTCTCTCTCTTTTTTTAAAAAAATAAATTTATTTATTTATTTTTGGCTGTGTTGGGTTTTCGCTACTAATTGCAGGCTTTCTCTAGTTGGGGCGAGTGGGGGCTACACTTCACTGCAGTGCCCGGGCTTCTCATTGCACTGGCTTCTCTTGTTGCGGAGCACAGGCTCTAGGCACATGGGCTTCAGTAGTTGTGACACACAGGCTTAGTTGCTCCTCGGCATGTGGGATCTTCCTGCACCAGGGTTTGAACCAGTGTCCCCTGCATTGACAGGCAGATTCTTAACCACTGCACCATCAGTGAAGCCCCTTGACCCATCTCTTGAATTAACAACAATTCCCCAAGTGAATGACTGCTACTCAGTGGGGAATTGAGAAATGGATGTTAGGGAGTCAATCGTAATACTTATTAAAAATGTGAATTATGTCACAGAAATCTAAAAGGACTAATTTTTAACCCAGGAAGAATCATCATTGAAAAAACAAACTTCTTCCTTATGTCAATAGAAGAGAAGTACTGGCTCAGAGTCAATGTACTCCTGTTAGTAATTTCAGTTTTCTGGTCTCCAGGGGAATGGTATTCCATCTTAGATTATATCCACGATGCTTAACATTTTGACTACTATACCCAAAGTTTCTGAAAGCTTTGTCAACTGATTTAGTTGCACATTCTAGGTATTAATGATGTATTTTCCCTTTTTATTTAATAATTTAATTATTTTGGCTGCACTGTGCAGCACATGGGATCTTAGTTCCCCAACAAGGCATCAAACCCTGCAGTGGAAGAGCAGAATCTTAACCACTGGACCGCCAGGGAAGTCCCGTGTTTTTCCTTTTGAAGGTAATGAAATGCATGTATAACTTTCAATCAGCATAAGATAAATTGTGCTTTCGTAATAAATGATATTATTCTTGGCAAACGATGCATTTTTTTGCCTAAGCTACTTCATTACAACTAAATATACATTTTCTTTTTTTGAATTTTATTTTATTTATTTTTTATACAGCAAGTTCGTATTAGTTATCTATTTTACACATATTAGTGTGTAAATATATATTTTCTGAGTCTTAATATATAGAAAATAACTAAATCCCTTAGATCCCCTAATGAAGTCTAAAAATGTCTCTTTTCTAACACATTCTATTTTGTATTATAGTTTCTTTTCCTTTTCCCTAATTTTAAGTACATGATCCGATAAATGGTTTAGTTTAAATGTAAGGACAGTTAAATTGCTACCATTCTAGGATTTAGTTGAGTAGAGACTTTTCTAGCTTTATCTAACAAAACAAGGAGAAATTGAATTCTTTCAGGAAAATAGGAAAAGAAACAACACAATTTATAAACGAATTATACCAGAACACACACACACACACACATACCACTGCACATCCAAAATTTTGTTAATGGGTCTTCCACTGACCTTGTCCTACAGTTATGTTTTGAGACTCTCTTATACAAAATCATCTTTTTTTTTAAACAATGTTTTTAAAAAAGAATTAAGTGGAGAGAAAAATAGCCTATGAAAACTAATTCTAAATGAGATATGAACTAAGACTTTTGATTAGGGTTCGCTAGAAGCTGCCATACCTGCTCCAACATCAGGCAATGGGAGAGCACCAAAGCCTCGTAGCTGGGCTCTGGAGATTAGAGGAATGACCACCAATGAATAAATGATTTATAATTTAAGCAAATTTTAAATATTTTCTTTTTATTATTGAGGCAATTATCAGTATAGATAATTTAAATGCCCTTTTATCATAAGCAAAGGATATTTTCCAGAAGGTTCCAACTCATTTTATTTATATATATTTAGATAGTAAAATATTTAAAATGCTGTAGATGCTGATCAAACTCATTATCTCATTTTGTTTTGTCCCAACTACTCTCATTCATAAAAATGTGGGTTTGTGTTTGATCTACACATGGCAAGGGTGAAAGACGGGGAATGGTGGAGAAACAGCTATAGGGAAGTAATTCTATTAAATTTTGCTTTAATGAACCAGGCAATATTTCAAAAAATCCTGATAGTAAATATCTTTACCACTGTAAATTTATGTCTCTATTTTTCTTAGTGACATTTTAAGTGTCTAACATCTGTACACTGAGTTTTATTACAAAGAGTAACATTTAGACAAATTAAACCTAACTAAAATCAACATTTATATGACTATATCCAGTCTCAAAAATAGCAAACAAGTTGGAAGTACTAGCGAGATGATATTCGAGATCTTATTACATCACTATTCATACATGTGGATGTAGAGGAAGTGGCTGGGTCATTTTGATGGTCAAATGTTAGATGTGTTTATACTCAGCTAGATAGTGATTTTCCAACGGGGTACGGATTATAAAAAAACAGCATATAATTATCTAAAGGGGTTCAGTCTTTAGTGAAGGCAAGGAGAAGCTAGTCTTGAATGAGAATGAGGAAAACATATGTGTTTTGTTTTTAGTAAAGTCATATATTTTAAAAAATATTTTATTTATTTATTTATTTTTGGCTGTGTTGGGTCTTTGTTCCTGTGCGCAGACTTTCTCCAGTTGTGGCGAGCAGGGCCTATGCTTTGTTGCGGTGCGTGGGCTTCTCATTGTGGTGGTTTCTCTTGTTGCAGAGCACGGGCTCTAGGTGCGTGGGCTTCAGTAGTTGTGGCACGTGGGCTCAGTAGTTGCTCCACGGCATGTGGGATCTTCCCAGACTAGGGCTTGAACCTGTGTCCCCTGCATTGGCAGGCAGATTCTTCACGGCACCGTCAGGGAAGTCCTAGTAAAGTCATATTAATTAATATTTAGTATGACTATGAATTAACCTCTTACCAAACAGGCCTCGTGGACTAGCAGGGTGCTTGTGGTTATGGACAGAGATGGGGATTTACAAAGTTTTTGCTGAAAGTGGAGCTTGAGTGGACCCTGAGACTCTGAAGATCTGATTAATATAGTATTTAGGAGGGAATCTGGAGTTGAAAGTCAAGCAGTTATTCTAGCTAAAGGATCAATCTGGAGAAACTGGGCACAGACAGAGAAACTGGACGTGAGGCAAATGGAGTGACTCAAAGGCATGTAGACCAAGCAAGGGGTTCCTGGCAATATTCCATGAGACTTAAGTGCTGGTGTTTTATAACCTGTGACTCCTCTATAGGTGATGAGGAAGCCAGTTGTTAAGATGCTGTGATGGCTCATTATAAACCAGAGGATGCAAAATATCATGTTTTGTTTGCTGGATATAATACCTACCCACAGAGTGACTTAAAAGAAATTTGCATTGGTTGTCAGCATTTAAAGATAAATTGTATTAGTTGCCAGCATTTAAAGATAAAAGCACTAAAGATATTTTACCTCTCAGTTTACAGCTTTTCTGAAAACACCAGAAGCTCTGTTATCACTGACCTTGCTGTCATACTTGGTACTGATAGTTTTAGGCTGTCACACTCTGGCCTCTTGCAATGGGCATGCACTCTCTTGACTGCCACAGTCCCCGCCAATCCCGACCATCCCTGATTCCATGGACAGGAGACAGCTGCCTTTTACCATCAAACACATTTTGTTGTTTTGCTTGTGAAAGAATTAAGGCAAAACTGAGCTATTTCTTAAATCCATTTTTTAAAAAAAAAAAAGACTTTTATTATGAAACATTTCAAATATATAGAAAAGTAGATAGAATAGTTAAGTAATTCCCCATGACCCTATTTCATGGTTTAACTGTCATTACTCAAGTGTAATCTTGTTTCTTCTATACCCGCACCCACTTCCTTCCATTGTATTATTTAAAAGAAAATCCCTGACATCCTATCATTTTATCTGTAAATATTTTAGCATGTAACAATAAAAGATGGGGACCCTTTTATAAATCATATAGCTATAATAACACAATCACACCTAAGCATTAGCAGTAAGTATTTAATATCATCCAATACCAAATTTCCAATTGTCTCATAAATACAGTTTAAATCTGGATTAAAATAAGGTCTACACAAGGTAATTGATTGATATATCTTTTAAATCTCTTATTTATAGCATCTTAGTCTCTTAGTCTCTGTCTCTGTCTCTCCCTCTCCTTCTCTTCTTTTCTCTCTCTCCCTTCACTCTCCCCCACCCTACTCATCTCTTTCTTCTGACTATTTATTTGTTTAAAAAAACCTGGTTGATTGTTTTGTAGAACTTCTCACAGTCCAAAATTTGCTGATTGCCTGTCCAGGGTAAAATCTAGCATGCCCCTCTATCATCTGTATTTCCTTTAAATTGGCTTGAAGTTTTTGGAAATAGTATTTCATAGGTGGTGGTATATTCTGTCTATCAGGAGGCACATAATGTTAGGGTCTCTGTCTTTCTCTCTCTCACTAGCAGTTGTTAGTGCTCAATGCCTAGATCCATCAATTCATTAAATGTTGCAAAATGTTGACAGTCTAATAAATAGTCTAATAAATGCTTGATTCTCTCCCTCTGTTTACAAGTTTCTCAAAATAATTAACATCCTCCATATGAGACTAATATTTTTTTGTATTACAACTCATGTGTTCAAACATATTTATGATGTTTCAGTCCGTTGCAGTTATTATCCATATTGACGCTCATAGTTTTTGATTTTTGCTTAGTTTGGCTCTTGAGTATTTTTGACATAACCCTAGCAAACTTTGAAAATGTCTTTGTTATCTGTTGGACAAAATGTTCTAAGGTCATATTGTACGTTTTCAGTCCAGATATGGAGCCAGCCATTTCAGGAATCTTGACTCCTTTGAGTGGGAATTGGTATTTC